CTCTCTCTCTCTCTCTCTCTCTCTCTCTCTCTCTCTCTCTCTCTCTCGTGTGTATGTCTGTGTCTGTGTATGCCTGCGCAGATATTCACATTCACATACCATGGCATGCATGTAGACATCTGAGGACATCTTGGGGTGTTAGTCCTTGCCTTTCATCTTGTTTGGGGCAGGGTGTCTTTTGTTTTTCTACCGTGCATACCTGGCTAGCTTGCCCATGAGATTTTGGGGATTCTGTCTCCACCTCAGTACAGGCACTGGGATTACAGATGCTCAAGATCCGTGTCTGGCTTTTACACAGGTTCTGGAGATCTGAACTCAAGTCTTCACACATACACAGCCAGTACTTTATACATGGAGTCTTCACACATACACAGCCAGTACTTTATACACGGAGTCATCTCCTCCTTAGGCCTTGCATCAGCGTTTCACTAAGAATTTTGGAGGGCAATAATATATATTATATAGTTGAATAAGTCTGCACGGATATGTATGCACATACTTCATTCTACACCCCCACACACAGTGCCAAGCATAGAAACAGTCAAATATGACCCATCACACAATCTTGCCTCCCAAGCTGGAAGAGAACACACAGGAGCGTTAGAGAGAACTGAACCCATTGTCACTGGGACACGGAGGCTTGCAGAGTCAGGCTGCAATTCCTGCCTAAGGAAGCCTCTAGGTCTTAATAATTGTTTTGAAATCCACACATATTACCAGGTAGTTCTCAGAATTGGGCAAGCCAGAAACCTAAATGAGGCCCCCATAGGAAGCATCTTCTCTATACATCCAAGGAACAGAGAAGGCCCATGAGACATCTTCTATCCAGCATTTGAAAAGATCTAACGGAGATACATCTTTCCAGTATAAGTCTCTGGCCACCTGGGAGAGTGGTCTTATTTGAGGTATGAGGTAGGATGCGTTCCAAGCAATCCCAGAGACTGAGAGCTTCACACACACTCTGTGCTGGCTATCCCCATTTAACTCTGGTTTGGGGCAGTTTCCAGCACTCCAATTCATATTATGGGTTGTTTGTTTGGCTGCTTGTTTTTAAAAATGTATGTGTGTGTGTGCGTGTGTGTGTATGCTATACATGTATGTGTATGTACATGGTAAGGCAATATGAGTGCCCATAAAGACTAAAGGAGTATACTGGTATCGTTCCTACCCTGCTCTATCTTGGTTCCATGGGTCAGGGTCTCTAACTGAACTTGAAGACTTCCATTTCAGCTAGAGTGGCCGGCTTGTGAGCTCCCCAAGTCCCACCTGTCTTCATCCTGCAGTTCTGGGGTTACAGGCATACACAGTGATGCTCTGCTTTTCCTTATGAAGCTGCTGGGGATTTGAACCTGGGTCCTCACACTTGAGCTGCAAGCACTGTTACCCACTGAGCTACTATCTCAGCTTCTTTTTCATTTTTTGAGGCAGAGTCTCACATAAAATGTGAAGGCCTGATCCTCCTGCCTCCATCTACTGATTGTAGAGGCACATGCCACCACATTTTGCTTAGGCAGTGCTAGGTATGGAAGCCAGGGCTTCATGCATGGTGGCTTCTACCAACTGTATCTTTAGCCCATGGTTTTAAGCTACTAAACTGAAGGGTCAGTTGTCAATCAAAACAATGCAGTGTTCTGGAGTTCCAGGCTGTAGTCCGTCACTGCTCTCATTTCTATTTCTCTCCTTTTCGGTGAAGTTAGTTCCTCTTCATGTATTTAGGAAGATTGGGAGGCTGCATGCAAAAAGCCCTGGGTTCCAGTTGGGGAAATGGCTCAGCAGTTAAGAACAGTTCTTGCTCTTGAAGAGGACTCAGGTTCAGTTCCCAGCACTCGCTTGGCTGCTCACAACTATCTATAACTCCAGTTCCAAGGGGTCCAATGACTTCTTCTGAATTCTAAGGACATGGGGCATGCACCACACATATGCTCAGGCAAAACATTTACATACATAAAATAAATTAAATCTTAAATGTTTTAAAAGGAGTCCTAGGTTCCATCCTCAGCACCATAGCAGGGGCTACATAAGTCCCAGTCTGAAACAAACAAAAAAAGCCAGGCATGGTGGCATATACCTTTAATTCCAGCACTTTTAAGGCAGAGACTGGCAGTGAATTTCTGTGAGTTCAAGGCCAGCCTGATCTACATAGTGAGTTCCAGGTCAGCCAGGGCTACACAGAGAGACTCTATCTCAAAACAACAAAACCAACCATAACAAACAACAGAAAGGAAGAAAGGAAGAAAGGAAGAAAGGAAGAAAGGAAGAAAGGAAGAAAGAAAGAAAGAGAGAAAGAGAGAAAGAAGGAAAGAAAGAAAGAAAGGAAGGAAGGAAGGAAGGAAGGAAGGAAGAAGATTCATAAATAAATGCATGTTTGTGTCTGTGGCCATCATCTCTTTCTCATTCCACCAAACTGATAACTATCATTTTTAAGTAGCTGTTTCTAATCTAAACAACTACCAAAGCTGCCTACAGGGAGCGTCTTTAATGAGGGCTGAATGAACTTGGGGTCACACCAAGGTGCCATTATCCTCACAGCCTTCAGCATTAATAGACTCCTGCAGTCCCCTGCCTCGCCCCTGAAATGGTCTTAGCTTGCACGGTAACGAAGAGTGCCTGGCTTGAAAGGTCTGTGGAAGTTAGGTCCTGCTGCCCATAGCACACTGGATACCAGGTTTCTTGGGCAGCTCCGATTCTGCAGAATCTGTCATAGTTCAGATGCACACAGGCTTTTGTCAGAGCTTCTGTCCCCAGATGGGGTGTGGAAATTGTGGGTGCAAACCTTTTTACACGTGTATTTCTTTGGTTTGCGTGGTCCAGGCTGTGGCCCACAGAGCTGACTCAAAGAGAAGCAGGCTCTACCCAGAGCTTTATCTCCTAGAGGGGCTCCTGGAGGGAGATTCCAGGACAACAAAACTAAATTTCCTTTCCCTGTTTCTTTGTTTTGTTTGCTCTTTTTAAAAAATATTTAGTTGGTTAGTTTTGGAGTTTTCCAGTGCTCGAAAGACTCCATGCTAAAATCCCACACCCAACCAGCAGTCATTGCTGGGATTCAAGCCCAGCCCCCACCTCCTTCTAGGAGCCGTCCCTCCTGGGTGACTGGGCATCTGGTCTCTTGCCTTCTTATCTAGCATTCCTTCCCAACCCTGCCCTGGATATTGTCACAGGCTCCTACCAGCCCTTCGCTTGCTGGTCCTGCTTGCAGCATGTGACAGATAGCCTGCTTGCCTTTCTCACTTGGAACTGTGGAGCAGAGTCCTCCTCTGGATCCTGTGCTATTTTTAGGAGGACCAATACCTCTGTCAGTTAGTTCCTGCATTCTAAGCCAGGGCTCCTCTCTCCCATGGCAGTGGCTTCGAGGCAGTGCCTTCACAACCCAAACTGTGACATCTAACTACACATGGACATCTCTGGGAGTTTTGTATGTTTGGTTTGTTTTGGTTTTCTGTTTGTTCATTTGTTTTTGTAACAGAATCTTACACAGCTCAGGCTGGCCTTAAAATACTTACTGATCCTCCTTTGACAAGCAGACCACCACACCTAGCTTTTTCCTCTTCTTCCTGTTTTTCTTTTTCTTCTTTCAGTCCAGCTTTTCTCAAAAGGTTCCATTAAGTAGCTCAGGCAGATCTAGAATGTATGTAGCCCTGACTGACCTTGAACCCCTGATCTTAACGCCTTAGCCTTCTGGGCGCTAGAATGTGAACTACTATGCCTAACAAAAGAATGTAAACCTTGATCAGCTTGCGCTCTCTCATATATCCACTCCTACCTCTACGGCTCTTTACTAAAGGGGGAAATAGCTGCTAATCAAGTAGACAGGGAACAGTGATGTCCACCTAAACTCCTATATTTGGGTGGCAGAGGAGGAGTGAAAGATTCGAGGCCTGCTGATCTTAGGGAGGTCCAAGGCAGTTACGGCTCCTTCAAGACTCCAGGAATGGCTAACCCTCACCGTTAACTTGATGGTGTCTTCCGGGTGTCTCTGGGAGGATGTTTCCTGAAAGGCTTAACCCGAGAAGGGATAAGACTCTTCTGAATATGGGTATTTGCATCCCATAGGCTAGGTATGAATAAAGAGGAGAGAGAAATGACAGAGAGCTAACTATCACTTTCTGTAGGCTAACTGGGACACAATGTGACTGGCTGAATCACATTTCTGTAGCCATGCCTTCCCCACTGTGGAGTACTATATCCCCTTAAACTGTGAGTCAGAACAACCCCTTCCTTTCTCCCCTAAGTTGTTTTGTCTCACAGATACCCCCCCCAAAAAAAACCAAATAATCAGACTCCTCTTCACCTTCTCATTATAGGAGGCTATGGATTCACCTACCATTCCCCATCCAATGCCATCAACTTAGTACTAGAGGCTCTACTATACAACAAACAGCCAAGAGGATCATGGTTTTCCTTTCATTCGGTGTGCACTTCCCTGTTCAACATTGTCCTGCACATGGTAGGCTATGAATACCAGATAAGCTGCCACCACCCTAAACCTATACCACCCCTACTTCATGTGCTTTTAGGGTGTTTTCCATATAGAAAGCATAACAGGAAAAGAGAGACAACTACCCTCTTGTTCCTTCTCCACATAAAAAGGCATGTCCCACTTACGAAGTGGGTCTCCATCCCAGTTTTGGTGCAATAGAGCAGAGGCTATACGTGGGAAGAAGAAATCTCTTTGGGGGTTGTATGGGAGGAACTGTCTGGAATACAGAGTGGAAACTTTTACACCTGTCTGTCTTAGTCACTGTTCTATTGCTGTGAAGAGACACCATGACCAAGGCAACTCTTATAAAACATTTAATTGGGGGCTTGCTTACAGTTTTAGAGAATCCGTCCATTAACATACCAGGGAGTAGACAGGCATGGCGTTGCAGTAGTAGCCGAGAACTTTATATCCTCATCTGTAAGCAGAAAGAGGAGGGTAGTGTAGAGAGTGAAAAGGGACCAGGAGTGAGCTCAAAGCCTACTCCCATTGATACACCTCCTCCAACAAGGCCACACCTCCTAATTCTTCCCAAACTTCTACCAACTGGTGACTAAGCATGGAAATATATGAGCCTAACGGGGAATTCTCACTCAAACCATTACACCACCGGAGAACATGAGAACCTTGAAGATGAGGTGAAGGATGATGAAGAGGAAGCTGTTTGCTCAGTAACGTGAGCAAAACAACAGAACCGACAGAAGTTTGACAGAAGCAGGGCAAGAGGCCTGCTGTGATTGAGTTAACACTGAGAATCCAGAAGGCATTGCACATGCTCAGGCTACCCCACATGTAGGATATGGGGCTGAACTTGAAGGTTACTCCTGGGCTTCACACAGGCCATCAATACAAGGTTTTGCTTGAATAAGCTGCTTAAAGCCAGCCTGAGAAGTAAGTTTCTTTGCCCCAGAGGGGCAGCTACTGAGAGGCTGAGCTTAAAAATAAAAGTCAAACTAATCCGCTGGAAGTCTGGAAGACTGTACATACATACACAGGACTTGAGCCTCTGTGGAGCCCTCAGAGAGGAAGCTTGCAAATTCTGAGCCCCTAGATGAATGTGGAACAATGTAAACTTCCTGAACTATGAGAGCAGACCATAATCCACATAAGCATCCAATGGTAAAAGGTAAGTTTCCGGTCTGGCGTGTAAAAAGCCAGAAACTTCCCTCCTAACAACGACAAAAAGCTAAATAAACTGGAAATTCAACCCCTTCTTCCAAGGTCCATTAGAGGAGTGAGGTCATATAGCAAGCCTCTGCTCCCAAATTGGAGAGACTTACAAGCAAACATAAGACAGTCGCATCTTACCAGGTCGGTAATCCAAAAGCTGAAACTTCCCTAGTGGTTCTGCCAGGATTGAGCATATCTGCATTAGGTTGATAAAATACTGCAGGCTTCATGTGGGCAAGCCTGGGAGATGAAAACTCCAGGGACACTCCATTCTGGGGGCTCCCAGACTCCTGTGAATTTTGCATCCTGGAGCTCTGATAGGTTCTCATGGTGATTGTCCGAGAAATGCCACCCCCACCCCCAGTGCTTCTGGTAGAGAGAGGAGAAGAGAAACCATGTTGAAATACCAAGCACATTCCAATCTTCTTAGCAACTTCTGCCCCCGGGAGAAATGATTTAACTAGAGCTGAACCAGCTGGAGGTTTAGCAGAGCAGAAATGACAGGAAAAAGGGAGACACTCAACTCCAGCTGGCTCTTGCCTTCCACGGGGAAGAAAAGAAACACTGAATTCCAGCTCCTTCTAATCCTGCACATGGGCAAGAACCATACCCAGCCCACTCCTGTCTTTTGCCCAAACCAATGGGGGCTGCTGGGAAGTATTTGTGATGTTCACAGCCTAAAAACACAGGCTTACTGTGAGACTGAGAGCTAACATAGCCTAGAGAGTCCTGCATCATACCCAGCTCCTTGTCACCATGTTCTAAGAAAACTAGGGTGACAGTCCCTTCTACCCTAGACATCACGTGCGACCCCAACTATCAAGAAAATAATTGGCCGGGCGGTGGTGGCGCACGCCTTTAATCCCAGCACTCAGGAGGCAGAGGCAGGCGGATTTCTGAGTTCGAGGCTAGCCTGGTCTACAGAGTGAGTTCCAGGACAGCCAGGACTACACAGAGAAACCCTGTCTTGAAAAACAAAACAAAACAAAAAAAAAGAAAGAAAGAAAGAAAGAAAGAAAGAAAGAAAGAAAGAAAGAAAATAATTACAGGGCCTAAAGAGACAGCTCAGTGGTTAAGAACACTGGCTGTTCTTTCAGAGGACCTGTTTTAATTCCCATTACCCACATGGCAGCTCAAATCTGTCTGTAACTCCAGTTCTGGGGATCCAGCACCTTCTTCTGACCTCAGGCACCAGGGGATACACAAGATGCATGTATGTGCATGAAGACAAAATACCCATACACAAAAATAAACAAATTGTGTGTGTGTGTGTGTGTGTGTGTATTACAAACTGGGTATATTGCTTCATTTTCATTGCTGTAATGTCAGCACTCTGGAAGCTGAGGTGTTATGAGTTCAAAGCTAGGGCCACAGAATAAGACACCCCCCTTAACACACACACACACACACACACACATACACACACTTTACTAAAAGTAAAAAAGCAGATTCTGAAGGCATCATGAATATGCTGGGAACTGAATTCTGGTCTTCGGTGTCCTTAACTCTGGTTAACCCTGGTAACACGTGCAGGGATTTATTTGTAGGTCAACTTCTGCTCTATAAACTTCTGAACTTTCTGCCCTATAAACTTCTTCGGAACTTTCTTTCCTCCCCCCCACCATTTCCTTTGAAATGACTTTACTCCCCTCTTTCCAGTCTCCTAGTTTCTAGCTTGCTAGACTTCTTTTGCATATGACTGTTCAAAGGTTCTAACTCCATTTGTTGAAAGTTCATTATTTTCCCCACCCTGCAGGCTTGGCATCTTTGTGAAAGACAGGTTGACTACCTTTACCTGGGTCTGGTTTGGTACTACCTTCCTTATTTGTCACCAACACCACACTGCCTTGATTACTGTAGCCTGATAGGGAGCATTAGAGTTGTAATAAGTTGTGATACTTTTTAATAGCTGTTGATAAAATACACGACCAAGGTAACTTATGAAAAGAAGTGTTCAGTTTGGCTTACAGTTTCAGAGCATTGTTGTCCATTACCGGCAGAGCAAATGCATCATGGCAGGAAGAGCTGAGAGCTCACACCTCCAACCTCAAGCATGAGATTGAGAACACTGTCTCAAAATGGTGTGCGTGTTTTGAAACCTCAAAGCCAGCCCAGTGACACACCTCTTCCAACAGTAGCACACCCTCTAATCCTTCCCAAACAGTTCCATCAACTGGGGACCAACTATTCCAACATATGGGCCTATGGGGTCATTCTTGTTTAGACCACTACACAGTGTGAGAGTTAACCATCCTTCACAGGCAGTGTCCATCTTTTCTGTAGTGCTGGTTACTGTGGGTCATTTATCTCTCCACATTAACTTTAGAATCTGTTTGAGGGCACTAAAGACACGGCTCAGTGGTTAAGTATCAGTACTGCTCTTGCAAATGACTAGAGTTTGACTCCCAGCACCCATATAGAATGGCTCAGACCACCTGTAATGGCAGCTCTAGAGAACCCGATGCCCTATGCTGGCTTTCTTAGCCGTCTACACTCATGTGTATACCCCTGCTTCATATATACACATTTAAAAAAATAATGTACTTTTTTTTTTGCTTTTATTTTCTCTGAGACAGGATTTCTCTGTATATCCCTGGCTGTCCGAGAACTCATTCTATAGACCAGGCTGGCCTCAAAGTCAGAGATTCACTTACCCGCTGCCTACTGAGTGCTAGAATTAAAGGCATGAGCCACTATAGCTGCTCAAAGGAAATATTTTTTTTTGTGATGGTTTAAATGAAAATGGCTCCTATAGGTTAATATGGAGTAGCACTATTAGGAGGTGTAGCTTTGTTAGAGGAAGTGTCATTAGGGGTGGGTTTTGAGATTTCAGATGCTCAAGCCAGGCCCAGTGATTCTCTCTTCCTGCTGCCTGCCAGATGCTGAAATTTCATCTATATCTGCGTCTCCAGCACCATTTCTGCCTGTGTGCTGCCACGCTTCCCACCATGATGACAATGGAGTAAATCTTAAAACTAAATGTTTTCCTTTATAATAGTTGCTGTGGTCATGGTGTCTCCTCATGGCAATAGAAACCCTAACTAAGATATTTTTTAAAAGTATAGTACCAGTTTGTTAATATATACAAAATAAGTTGCAGAGATTTTATTCATGCATACTGTCTTATATTTGCATAATTATTGATTAGATGATTACAATTTCATAATAAGAACTAATAACGATGAAAGAGGTCAAGATCAAAATCCAACCGAAACTCAAGGGAAACGGCTAAATGTGGAGAAGTATGCAAAACCAGAACAGTATGACACTTCTGCCGCGTTACTAATCAGATGGAGAAATGTGTCAGGAAGTAAATTTGAGCAGCAACTCCTAACACAGCAAATTCATGAATTTAAAAGTCTTAGGAAGTGGTCATATGCTAATCTAATTGATGGTGGCTGTGTAGGTTTTAAATGCAGAACTGGTAACATGTGCAGGGGTTTAATTATAGGACAACTTTCTGCTCCAAGAATTTTCTTCCCTATAGACTCCTTCCAGGCTTTCTTTTCTCCACTCCCTTTGGAATGGCTTTACTCCCCTCTTCCCAGTCTCCTAAGCCTAAAAGGTTGGCTTTAAATCTGCTTCTTTTCTCATACAGGATGGCTTGTTTGTACTTAACACAATGGCATATGCCTGTAATTCCAGGACTGAGGAGGCAGGAGCAGGGGGATTGCTGCAAGTTTGAGACTGGTTTCCTTGAAACTTGAAAAAGGGAACATGCACTCTTGCTAGAAATGACGAGGAAGGATCACTGAGAGGGGGGCAGCCCCTCCAGGAGTCTCCAAAGGTAGTAATAAAAGTTTAGAGGCAATAGCTTATAATAGCAGTACCAGTACAACATTGCCCAAAGTTCTTAAACTGTACATGTAATACTTTATGTAGCCAGACATGATGGCTCATGTGTATAATCCCATCGCTCAGGAGGCAGAGAGGAAGGAGGCTTGTCATGACTTCAAGATCAGCCTGGACCACATAGAGATCTTGTCTCAAAACATAACACAAAACTGCCAATCAAGGTCGGTCTTAGCTATATGAGACCATGTCTCTAAATAAATAAGTAAATGAAATTAATCCAATTAAATTAGTTAACACAGCAATCATGGGATGGAGAGATGCTTAGCAGTCAAGAGCATTTGCTGCTCCTGTAGAGCATCTACATAGCAGCTTACAGCCGATCTGTAACTTGAGACTCAGGGGATCTGACACCTTCTTCTGACCTCCATGGGTATCAGGCACACATCTGATGCAGGCAAAACACTCATACCATAAAGTAAAGTAAAGCAAAATAAATCTAAAAGAAAAAAAATCCAACAGTTAATAAAAATCAACATATTAAGAAAAATTAGAATTGTACAAGATCTGAATAGATATAGAAAAGATATTTTTTAAAAAATAAACTCTTTACAGATTAAGAATAGACCAAAACTTCCTGAAAATATCAGGCACTGGTGTCACATGTCTTTGATCCCAGCACTCAGGAGGCAGAGGCAGGCGGGTCTCAGAGTTTGAGGCCAGACTTGTCTACAGAATGAGTTTCAGAACACTTAGAAACACAGAGAAACTTTGTCTTGAAAAACAACAAAAAGGGGGCTGGAGAGATGGCTCAGTGGTTAAGAGCACTGATTGTTCTTCCTGAGGTTCTAAGTTCAGTTCCCAGCAACTACATGGTGGCTCACAACCATCTGTAATCAAATCCGATGCCGTCTTCTGGTGTGTCTGAAGACAGTGACAATGTACTCACATATATAAAGTAAATAAATCTTTTTTAAAAAAAAAAAACGCCGGGCGGTGGTGGCGCACGCCTTTAATCCCAGCACTTGGGAGGCAGAGGCAGGCGGATTTCTGAGTTCGAGGCCAGCCTGGTCTACAGAGTGAGTTCCAGGACAGCCAGGGCTATACAGAGAAACCCTGTCTCAAAAAAAAAAAAAAAAAAAAAAAAAAACAACAAAAATAACTTCATGAATGTGGAGAAAAGATCATGACAACCCTCAGCCCTTGGGGGGAAAACCTATAATATATAAAGACAACACTGTAGGCTGTGGAAGTATAGGGCATTTGGTGTTCATATACTGCTCGTGGTAATAGGAAACAGCACTTTTTCTGCATAAACTGTTTTAAAGATTTTGTGAAAAGTTAGACATAGACCTAATCTATGAACTGAGTCTGTAATCTGAGTAGTGCCCTACAGAAATAAAA